TGGGTGCTCGAAGATTTGACGAGAGAAGTATTGTTTGGCGGGCTACCTAGATACCTGATAGGAGAGCCAATCAAATTCGGAGCGCAATGATGACCTTCTGGCCACTGCCCAATCATGACGCGTAGGGCTCGGAAATCCTTGCTCGTCCGAAATGATAGAAGACACCAGCACTCTCTTTTTCGATGCTAGATTAGCCCCGGGCGTGCAGCTGTAAATACTGCTTCATTGTTGACTCATCAAGAACAACGTTCTGCCCCAGCAATCCGATGCATCATTCATCGTCACATGATCCGGGAGAACTGATGTGAGAATGTCGTTGCCAAAGGTTTTTCTTTGTCTGCCTCGAAAGAACATGTTTCGTCTTTAAAAGATGTTTTGAAGCTCTGTGTCGCGTCGTAGACTCGACTAAGGTAGTTGCTTAATCTGTAGAGATTAGAGCTCTCGAAAAATCGTGTTATTTCGAGGTTGCACAGGTTAACTTTAAAGAAAATTTGTGTAGTAAAGGTGAAATTGTGTAGCTTTTTAGGCTCCATTCAGTCGGAAAAGTTGGCCGGGCATAATGGGGTTTTGAATTGAGGCACACGGTCACAGTAAGAAATACCTATCGAGTACATAATATTACTTGGCGGTGAAGTTTCGAGGCTTAGGTAACCTAGGTACCTAGGTAGATGATGGGCCATGCATGTCTCGGTTTCGGAAATACCAAACACCTATCATACTAAGCCAATTCCTTATCAAGGGAAAAAAATTAATGTGAAGTACCATTCACCTCACTACCTACATAATATACGTACTTGCGTGCAAAGTACAAGAAATTTTTAATACCTTTGCGCTGGCCCTCTCCGACCTCAAAAGGGTATCATCAAGTCCTACTTTGAATGAATCCTAGTTTCTTAAACTCTCTATTTACGAAACCTCCATAATCACTCCATTTATTACCAGGGAAAATGTCAACCAAACGAAAACCACCGAGCAAGATTGCTCACCCGGTCGTTAAGCAGAGCGCAAAGAAGCCCCTCAAAACTACAATTAATGAGTCCGAAACAGCTGTCTCAGTTCCCAATATTTCAACAGAGAGTGGAATTACAGACGAGAAAGTAATAGAGATTTCAAGCGACTCGGGCAGCAGCGAGTACGAGTTTACAGATGGGGAGCAGGAAGACGACAAAACTAAGCTAGAGACCAAGCTGTCTCAAGATCAATCCGTACCAAAGAAGGCGCAAGGACAACAAGAAAATACCGAGGACGTTGATGTCGACATGCCCTCCCCAAACTTGCCAACAGATGGCGAGTCTGACCAAGAACCTGCTCAACCCACGTTTGGCGAACTTGCCCGCGCGCATGATACTATTGAAGTTCCGAACGCAATATCTACCCAGTCCAACGCCGTCGCCACTCCAGGGCGGTCTCTAGCTATTCCTAGCCTCTCATCTTTAGGAACTGTTTTATCACAAGCACTCCGCACTGATGATGCAGATCTCCTAGAGTCTTGTCTTCACGTCAGCGATCTCAACACAGTCCGACAAACCATTCAAAGATTAGACTCCACCCTCGCAGGAACATTACTTACGAAGCTTGCGACTCGAATGCATAGACGTCCGGGACGAGCTGGTACCCTAATGACCTGGGTTCAATGGACGCTAATTGTACATGGAGGCGCATTGGCAACTCAGCCGGGGTTGACTAAGAAGCTAAGCGAGTTACACCGAGTATTAGAAGAGCGATCAAGAGGCCTTAATTCTCTTCTAGTTTTAAAGGGCAAACTTGATCTACTAGAGGCGCAAATGGAGTTCCGTCGGATCGCACAACAAAGCAGAGAAGTCGATGAAAGTGACGAAGAAGAGGCTGTCGTCTATGTGGAAGGGGAAGAAAGTGACGCAGATATAGTTAATGGGGCTATGGACTTAAATGACGACGATGGATTACCTGTCACAAACGGAGTGGTTGACGGCGAGTCAGAAGACGACGAAGAATCAAGCGAAGATGAAGAGGACGAAGACAATTTGGACGGCCAGGAAGATTTAGATGAGAACGATGTCAACCACGAAGATGTCGAATCAGACGAGGAAGATAGCGAAGCTGAAGTAGCTGAACCTCAACGACCGGCAAAACGTTCGAGGACGAGAAGAAGATGAAAGGTTCTCTCCAAGAAATGTTAAACAGACACTTTCTATTCAGTCTAAACGATACCCGTTACTCTCTAAACCACCTACCATATCCGGTATTTACGATAGTATTGCGTATCCCGTAAGAGATATTGATCCTCCGTGGTATGGTCAAGCCTAGCCAACTTCAAGGTTGCTCGGCTTCTCTCTAAGAATTTAAGCACGTATGATAATATTGTCCGTCTAATGTATAAATATGATTCTATTAACAGGTTAGTTGTTATCTACTTCTAAAGACTAATGTCCGATATCCTGGATAGGTAGCTTTCACAGTTGCTTATGTCCGATTTCCGAGTCTTTACATCGATATGATAGATACATGCATAAGTACATAGAGCTACTAGGTACTTGCAGGGTAGGTAGCCCACTAAAGGTACATATATGCATGTACCCTGTAAGCTTAAGAAATTTATTAGCTAATCGGACGATGGACCCCTATCGATAAATTCTCATATGTCTATCTAATCTACTAATCTACCAGCTTCTAGCTCCCCTTCATCTAATCGCGTCGTCTCTAAACCCCGAACTATTTCGCGTCAAGCTTTCTACCGAGAGTGACCAAATATCTGGATTGACCTGCTTGGTTTATACTATCTTGGTTTCTCAAATCATTAATGCATTTTTCGAATCACCTTGCTTCTTTTCTTGTACAATACTTGACGCCATAATGGTAGAATGCCCAATTTGTAGCAAGCAAGTCCAATCTGCCAAGATCAATGATCATATCGATTCAGGATGCCAGACTTTCCTAATTGACGTCTCGACGTCCTCGTCCTCGTCCCAGATGCCTTCGGCTACCCAAGCAAATGGCGCAATGTCCTCCTCGCAGAAGCGGCCGGCGTCCAGCTTCTTCCATACTCCTTCCGCCAAACGACAGTCGACACCCGTCAAACCGACTGCACCCTCGGCTAACGGTGTTAGTGGAACACTCGGCGGAGCGAAACCGAACGGTGGTGTCAAGCGTTCCTTCGATGAAGGTCCCGGAGAAGATTCGCCTATGCAAGATGCAGGCGCCAGGACGGAGGACGTGGCACCCATCGAAACCGGTCGGGTGCTGAAAAGGACCAAGACGAATAGAGCAGCCCCTCTCGCTGAACGCATGCGACCACAGAATCTCGATGAAGTCTTTGGACAAGATCTTGTCGGCCCACACGGTGTTTTACGATCATTAATAGAATCCGACCGGGTACCATCCATGATATTATGGGGCGCATCTGGCACAGGCAAAACTACGATTGCGCGCTGCATAGCAAACATGGTCGGCTCCCGTTTTGTTGAGATGAACGCTACAAGCTCTGGTGTGGCGGAATGCAAGAAGATATTCAATGATGCGGCAAACGAGTTGGCATTGACCGGAAGAAAAACGATAATATTCTGCGATGAGATACACCGCTTCTCCAAATCGCAGCAGGACGTATTTCTTAAGCCCGTTGAAGCAGGGACGATAACGCTCATCGGCGCAACAACGGAGAATCCAAGCTTTAAAGTCGTCAATGCACTGCTCTCAAGATGTCGAACTTTCACACTGCAGAAGCTAACGACGACAGACATCCAACTCGTTCTATCACGAGCATTACAGGCTGAGGTTTCAGCTACTTCATCACCGCCCTCCCCTCTTCTTGACGAGGAACTTATGAGCTATCTTGCCAACTTTGCTGATGGCGATGCGCGGACAGCACTCAACCTACTGGAACTAGCTATGTCTCTAGCGAATAGGGACAACATGACAAAGGAAATAATTAAAGAATCTCTTACGAAGACACTGGTATACGATCGAGCTGGCGATCAACATTATGATACAATCTCTGCGTTTCACAAATCTGTCCGCGGCTCTGACCCAGATGCTGCATTGTACTACCTGGCGCGTATGCTCCAGTCGGGAGAGGATCCATTATTCATCGCGCGGCGAATGGTCGTAATCGCATCTGAGGACGTCGGGCTAGCAGATAACTCACTTCTTAGCCTAGCAACCTCAACATATACTGCAACACAACAGATCGGCATGCCGGAAGCTCGCATACCTCTAGCCCATTGCGCCGTAGCGCTCTCGCTCGCGCCCAAGAGTACACGCGCCTATAGAGGATTGAATAATGCCTTTGCGGCTCTCAAAGAACCAGGAGTAGCATCTTTACCAGTACCGATTCATCTACGAAACGCGCCGACGAGGCTGATGCGGGAGCTCGGATACGGAAGGGAATATAAATACAACCCCAACTATAAAGACGGCAAAGTGAAGCAAGACTATCTTCCCGATACGCTCCTTGGGCGTACGTTCTTAGAAGACCGAGATTTGGGTACTGAGATCGATCCAGACCTAATTATGGAAGAATCTTGATTTCCAGAGTATAATCCGAATTATACAACTCCTGCTCTTGCGCTTCAGGACCGGGCGCCGTCAACTTGTTTATAAGGGTTATAAGGTACCTAAAATATCAAGTTCTAGGGAACGAGGACAGGCAAAATGGTATAAAGGGCGATACGAGAACGGGGGCGACAGGATATCCGCCCCATGTAACTACGGCGTCGTCAAATCAGGATGTATTTAAACACCTATATATATCCATGAAAATAAATAAAAGCAAATAATTCCGCTTTGCGTAGCTTCTATATTTGCTTCTCTTTTTTTCAGACGTAAATCACCACTTGAAGGAATCATACCCACCAAGGACAAGCTGAGCTATGATTGGCCAGAATGCCATGGGGATGTCCAGATTCGGCAATTCCAAATATAGGTAGGTTCCGGAGCTCTACGAAGCTTGATCTAACTCTCCGGAGGTAGACAGGAGAATCCCGGTTGCTCGATGTCTCCGGGGCTTGTTATGGAAAGTCCCTTCAATCGTGATGTAGGTATTAGACAGCACAATTCGCGCATGATCAAAGCTAAGAACAAGAGGTAGGTAGGTAGAAATATCTACACCATGCTGGAATCAATATACCCGTTAGCAACCCAAGGAGCAATTCTATTATTTATTCCCCATTATTTCCGCCCAAGTCATTGCACTCTTCTCGCGGGTTTCCCAAACCTTGGCTCTTGCTCATAGGAGCCTTCTTAGGGACGTCGTAAACCATGAAATAAGCCCCGTACTCTCCCGTCCCGCCGTACTTCGTGGCATCCTGGACCACCCTTTCGACTTCTTTAAACCCAAGTCGCTCGTAGATGCCCCGGCCGGCCTTGTACGCCATCGTAAATAGGGGGACGCCGATTTTCTCGGCGTGTCTGATCCCGCTCTCGACGAGTGCGCTGCCTATTCCTTTGCCCTTGTTGGCGGGGTGGACAGCTAGGTATTCAAACTCTAAGCATGGGTTGGTTAGTTAGAAGTAGTTAGGTACAGTCCGGCATAACTAGCAGAGTAGCCCGGCGGCCCTTTTTGATAGGTAACTCACTGATATATGTTCCCGCCGCTAGGAGACGGGCCAAGACCTCGTCGTTCCTGTCGTCCATGCCATCTGCCTCCTTTCTCGTAGCCAGCCGCGCCGACTTGGCCAGCTCTTCGAACCGGGCCTTTTCCTCGTCGCTGACGTCCGGGACCTGCGCCTCGGCCCACTCCGGACTGCCGTCTTCCGCGGCGAGATGCTCGGACGGGAGCACCCAGCGCGCGTAGCCGACGAGCTCCCCGGTAGCGGGGTCTACGGCCTTCTCGTGGCGCTTTTTCTCGCGGTCGGTTGCGAGGATGCGCGGATACCGCTTTGCGTTGTTCTCGATCAGCATGTCTAGCGTGGTCTCCTTAGACCATATCAACTTCCAGTTCGGGTCCTCCCAGAAGGCGCTCATGTTATTGCGAGCTAGTGCCGCGGCGTCGGCCACGGTGCAGCGCTCAATCTTCCAGGTTGTCATGATTGCGTGATGTTATTTATAAAGGTCAAGTTGAGATCCTTATAACAAGTAGGTACTCAAAATAGAATGGAATGGATAGAGTTGTCAAGTAGAGACCAGTTCCCGGAGGAGGTGGTTTCCCCTGGATTATGATAGGTTTAATCGAGTTTATGCAGCGGGATAGATAGGTAGAAAAATAAAACCGGCTTCTAACGGCATTTCTGCTTTGACGTAAGGGCGCGACGTTTATATATGGATTAGCAAGGGTTATCAGGTTACCTCATTAGGAAGATGATACGTCGTATCACACGTTCAATTGGACACACCTCCCCTTGCAGCTATGACGGGGTACCTAAGGTTGCTTGTGCGTGCCGGAAAATACTTCTTCCTTTCTATAGAACAAAGACCAGTTAATCTCTTCTAGGACTTTTTACGGGACGTAGATATGAGCTATCAGAAATCTGTCTTAATGAGGTGGACATAGTACTTGATTCACATCTACAAGCAAGTATCTACTTGGAAAATACTATTGAAATGAGTGGCTCAATTATGAGTGTCCAAAGGAGACTTAAAGCTTATACGACGTCTCCCCTATCAGCCCATTTCATTCAGCATTCCCTCGAAATCCCCAAGCCTCAGATGCCTTGGCACCTAACTGAAGCCAATATTTCTAACTTATAGCTACTATACCAAGTTCCCCAGAAGCGTATCGTGTAAAGAGCCAGTCGAGGAGCAGTGGCTCGCTAAGAGATCTAGTCTACACGATGCTTTAGGTACATACATACACTGCTTATTCGTGCTGAGCAGCATCGTAGGCGTCGTATTTCTCCTTAGATGGTTCCCGCTTGTCTACTCCCTGAGCAGCATCATAAGTAGCATACTTCTCCTTAGAAGGCTCCCGCTTTTCAACCCCTTGAGCAGCATCGTACGTAGCGTACTTTTCCTTGGAAGGCTCTCGCTTCTCAGCTCCCTGGGCGGCATCATAGGCGTCGTACTTCTCCTTCGAACGCTTTTCGTGTACGTGTTCATGCTCGTGTTCAATGGCAGCATCGTAAGTAGCGTACTTTTCCTTAGAGGGCTGGCGCTTGTCTACCCCTTGAGCGGCGTCATAAGTGGCGTATTTTTCCTTGGAGGGGTCCCGCACCTCAATTCCCTGGGCAGCATCGTATGTTGCGTACTTCTCCTTAGAGGGTTGGCGCTTATCTACCCCTTGAGCAGCATCATACGTAGCATATTTCTCCTTAGAAGGCTCACGACTTTATAGAATGTCAGTTTCCTCTTTGTCAAAGTATCTCGGGGAACAGATAATATAGACTTACGCCACGATAGAGTTCTCCTGAACGGGGAGGGCTGCTGCGGTGGAGGCAAGAGCTCCGAGGAGGGCGATGGAAGTCTTGACGAAGTGCATCTTGGTATTTGATGATGGTGTATGGGGGGTTGGAGACTGTTTAATCGAAGGAATTGCTTTGTATCTTTGCTGAGGATGGATGATGAGAGTAGGCAGTATGTGGTAGAAATACACCTTCTTAAGTCTTTTCCTTCTAACAAGCTAGATAGATAGGAGGTAGGTTAGGTGATTGTTTACGAGAATGACGACTGCATGTTCATCATCCTCGGTAGACTCTTTTCGAGGCCCTACACCCCCTACCGTTCCGGGATTTGTATGACAAATCGCCCAAGATGCCGAATATGCTGTAATACCCACAGCTAGTCAGAAGGTCTCGGGTATATGCAGAGCTTGTAGATATCACACTTGCTAGTGAGGATAGAAGAAAGTAGGATTTGATACCCTGAGTTATGACATCTCGGCAGTTATCAAGTATCCAATAGAGAGAGGTATGCTGGTGGCAACCATGGCTATGAGAAAACCGGAAACTACTAGCGAGGAAAGCAGGTAAGATATTAGGACGAGATTCATGTTGTGTCGTGTAAGGTTCATATGTTGTTAATATGTAACATGTTCTACAGGTAGTTAAACTTGATTTAAAAGTACAGACGAAGTAAACTACTGAGTCGATCTTCACAAGTGATAACATGAGTTAGCTTCTGTCCAATTTAGTAAGTAACTTTGTAGTAGTTATCTTAATATCAGTGATAGAGCTATAGAACTATGAGGTCAAAGTGCAAAGTTACCTTATAGTAGTATCATTATCTTAACTACCTCCTAGGTAACTATAAGAATTAATCCGCCGTTTATTATTCAATCCGTTTAAAAAGGTGAGCACCGTTTTTGGTATCACGCAATTATAGTGCTGATTTCCTCACTGATATGCAGGTTGTGCTTATAGTTGTCGCCGCGTTTAGGTGGCGCGGAAAACGAGCTGTCCTGCAGATCCTGCGTCTCCGGCTTCTAACTGTACCTAGGTGCAGTATGTAGCTGAGCCTAGAAAGCTTATTCCTCCCCGCATCTGCATCCAGCCTACGATCCCGTTGTCCGGCATATATAGCGCCGCATATATGCATGCCCAGCGAATCAAGCTTTGGCCCTGCAGTTCTAGCTACGGCTTGTAATATCTAGCCCTGGCTCGTGATGAACTGGTATGCAATCTGCGAGCTTCAACCGTAAAATCTTACCACTCGGTCCATGTAACTATGGCTATAGGTCTAGACTTCCCCACAAGAGAAGTGATCAAACATCACGACATGAAAGACCCCATATTCAAACATGGCCATCTTCAATAAACATGCATGCATATATGCGTGGACAATATTAGTGAAGTCTATAGACATGTGAATCCGAACTCGATCGAAACCCCATGATCAGCGCCATTATCGGCACCTTTGTAAGAGGGGGGCGAGGCCCTAGTTACCTAGCATTGCTCCGATGAGGATGAGACTCGAGATAATGCCTTGCCGGTTAACATTCGCCATTGACGGACAAATAGGTCCGTGATCCTACGGTCTGTCATCATACATTCTTTTCGGGTTAAAGCTCACAAAGGAATCAGAACTTAAGACTTTTACACCCAGCCCATCCCCATACCTTACTCCTAACCTTCTCAACTCCGTCTTATACAATTCTTCATGTCCTAGAACCTGTTAGTCCTGAAGCCTATCCATATCGAAGATGGGTTTTAAGTCAAAGGAAACAACATACGAGCCGCTTGTCTCAGATGAGGCGCGGTTCTCGCAGAGTTCTGATAGCCTCGAGAGCCAAGAGGGCAAGCCTATGCTAGGACGAAGCTTCCAGAGAACGTCTTCTCGCCTTACCTCTTGGGTCAAAGCAGGTGGCGCAGTTCTAGCAGTTATCAACACTATTCTTTTAATAAGTATAATCGTCGTCCTATCGCTTTCACAGCACGAAAAGGAATGCTCCGAAATCCAGTGTGCTGCTAAGACATCGTACTATTGTGAGCAATGATAATATCCAGATTATACTCATCAACAACTAACAACAATAGCCCCGCTCCTAGAAGAGGACTCTGGTGCTATCGAATATGAAACTCGCAGGTTTCAAGGCGCTCTTGAACACCAAAGCATCTATAAGGGGACACCTAACAAGGAGCTTGACGCAGCATGGGTAGAGCTCACGCACAGTAAGCCACGATCGTTTAAAGTCTCAGTAGTTGTCAAGTTAACTTACAAAACTAGTGAACAATTCTGGTGTGAGCGGCGATGTCATAGACCGCATCGGAAAGTCGCGTATTGCCGTAAAGTACCCAGAGTCTAAGGGTGGACAATATGATGTCGGTGTCGAGGTCTTCCACCATATGCACTGTTTGGTATGTTCAACTCGAGACACCATGATAACCTGCCGAATACTAATAGTAGCAGAACATCATCCGCCAGTACACTTACAAGGAATACTATTTCCGCGCTGAGAATCGACCAAAAAGTTTCACTGACCCCGAGCCTATCATTCGCGCTCATATCGACCACTGCATTGAGATGCTACGTGAAGCTCTGCTGTGTCACGGCGACGTTGGTATCATTACCTACAACTGGGTTCATCCATGGGGAATTTACCCCGACTTCAGCACGCAGCACAAGTGCCGCAGACTCGACAAGATTGTTGCTTGGGCTGACAAGCACGCATTGCCAGTAGAAGACCCCGAGCCTGATGAGAACACTGTGTGGCTCAAAGGACCGCCGCAGTAATAGGCCATTCTAAATTCCACCTACATACACAAATTGTGGAGGGATATTATGGAATACAAAGGACTTGACTTGTCAAATATGAACCATTTAGGCTTAGATCATGGATCTTCAAGACGATAGGGTTATGGGATAGGGCTTTATTGCTTTAAAGAATAACATGAATTTTTCGAAAATTGATCTAGAAAGAGTTTAAACTCTCGGTGATTCGTTAGAACTGTGTGAACGGACACTCGCAGACTTGGTGGCTTCGTATAACGATAAGCAAATGTATAACAACAGCTTCAAATTAATTATTTTATGCTACACTACAGCTTTCGTCAATGCGCTAGGTACGCTAGTAAGTTAACCTTCATTCCTAAAGCTCGTGATAGTATAGAAGTCAGCTAGTAAAGGTATGTAGTGCTATCTAAAGACGAATCGAGATCAGAGTGGAAAAATTGGAGGTAGATGTTGGTGCTATCGAGGTAAGCCGAAGTATTAACATGAGTACTACTATACAGCTACATACGCAGGCTGACATACCTTAGGTGGTGATCAAGACATTAACCTCGGATCACAGGCGAATTCAAACCCCCAAAACCCCAAAATGTGTAATACTGATCTCCGGATAAGCTTATTACCTAGCCAGGTTTTTTCTCTTACATGACTTCATTGCTTATAGACGTGCTGCATACATACTGTAATTCAAGGCGGTCAAGATAGCTGCTAAAGAATCACGCGATATGTAAGGTAGGCTATAGGTAATATCGAGAAGCCATGAAGTTTAAACTCTTCCCAACCGTATAAAACGTGGTTAAGGTAGATCACCCTTTTACGCGTATACCCCATAACGCGCCATATAAATTTAAAACTATTGTTAATATAACTATTTACATTTATTTATTTATATTTTCTTTATTATTTATATATTTTAATTTAAACTTTACTATTATAACTTTAATATAATTTTATATTAATTTATTATTATTTTAATTAACTTTTTATTATTTTAAATTTATTTTTATTAATATATTAATTTATTTTTTTATTAAACATAACTTTAAATTTACTTTAACTTTTTTTATATTTTTTATATATATAAACTTTTTATTTAAATTTAAAATAATTTTATAATATTTTTTAAATTTTATTTTTTTTAATATAATTATTAATTATTTAATTTAAAATTTTACAATTATAAAATTATTTATTTAATTATTAAAAACTTTATTAAATTTTTAAAATAATAATTATATAATAAATATATTAAAAAAAAAATTAAATAAAAAGAATTTTAATTATATATTTTTTATATTTTATAATAATTTAAATATAATAATATTTAATTTAATTAATATTATAATAAAATTAATAAAATTTAAAATTATAAATAATAAAACTTTAAAAAAAATATTTTTAAAAATTATTTTAAAAGTTAAATATAAGTTTTTTTAAAATTTTAATTATAAAATAAATTAAAATTTAAGAAAACGCATGCACTCGTAAACTCGCGCAAGCGTTTTCACGTGCTCGCAAGCTCGCACGTGAAAATCTATCAAAAACATTAAATCTTTTATCAATTTTCTTATCATTTATTAATAAATTATTTATCAATTACTTATCATTTCTTTATCATTTCCTTATTATTTCTTTATCATTTCCTTATTAATTTTACATAATAATTTCTAAAAGTTCCAACGTAAAAAATGTCTTTAACGGATAAATTTAATATTTTTTATTTAATATTAATATATTTAAATTTTATTATTATTAATTATATATAAAAAAATATTTAAAAAAATTTTTTTATTTATATTTTATAAAAATTATTTAAATAATTATATATATAAATAAAATCGAAAAAAATATTTAAAAATTATAAATATATTTATATTAAAAAATTAAAATATATAAAATATATAAATTAAAAAAAAAATATATATATTTTATTTAAAAAATATTTTTATATAAATTTATTATTTATATAATTATTATAATTATTAAATATAAATAAATATTATTATATAAAATTTTTTAATTTAATATTTAATATATATATTTTTTTAAATTATTTAAAAATAATATTATTATTTATTTAATTATTAATAAATATAATAAAATATTAAAATTTATATAATTAA